TTTTGAGGGACCTCCATACTGTTTTCCACAATGGCTATACCAATTTACATTCCCACCAACAGTGCACAAGGGTTCCCTTTTCTCCACATCCTTGCCAACACTTGTTTTCTCTTGTCTTTTTGATAATAGCCATTCCAACAAGTGTGAGATGATATCTCCTTGTAGTTTTGATGTGCATTTCCCTGATGATTAGTGATATTGAACACCTTTTCATGTACATGTTGGCCAGCTGTATGTCTTCTTTGGAAAAATGCCTGTTTGGATTTCCTGCCAATTTTTCAATTGAATTATTTGCTATTGAGCTGTATGAGTCTGTATATATTTTGGATATTAACCTCTTATCAGATATATGATTTGCAAATGTTTTCTCCAATTCAGTAGATTGCTTTTTCATTTAGTTGATGGTTTCCTTTGCTGTGCAGAAGCTTTTTAGTTTGATGTGATCCCACTTGTTTATTTTTGCTTTTATTACCTTTACTGTCAAATCCAAGATATAATTGCCAAGACTGATGTCAAGGCCTTACTGCTTATGTTTTTTTCTAGGAATTTTATGGTTTCAGGTCTCACATTCAAGTCTTTCATCCATTTTCAGTTAGTTTTGGTGTATGGTGTAAGATGGTGGTCTAGTTTCATTCTTCTGCCTATGGCTGTCCAGTTTTCCCAACACCATTAATAGAAGAGACTATCCTTTCCCCATTGTATATTCTTGGCTTCTTTGGTGTAAATTAACTGACCCTATATGCATAGATTTATTTCTGGGCCCTCTATTCTGTTCCATTGATCTGTCTGTCTGTTCTTCTGCCAGTACCATACTGTTCTGACTATCATAGTTTTGTAATATAGCTTAAAATCAGGGGGTATGGTGCCTCCAGTTTTGCTCTTCATTTTTAAGATTGCATTGGCTATTACAACTTTTATATTAGGATATATAAATGAATATATCTACACATTTAAAATATTTATTTCTTATTTATCTTTAAAAATATAGTGTTCTCTACTACTACTACTATCACCACTACCACCACCACTTGTACTAATACTACTAATAGCATCCCTGATTCATTGATCACTTACCATAGGCAAGTCATAGTCTTAAGCATTCTACTTATATTAACTCATTTAATCCACACAACACTGCTATGAGGTACTATTATTGTCATCTGCATTTTTACAGACAAGGAAACAGAAACACCAAGAGATTAAGTAACTTGTTCAAAGTAACACAGGTAGTAAATGACATAACTGGGAGTCAAACCTACATAGTCTACTTTTAGAATCCAGGATCCTCACTACTACTCCTGCCAACCTAGTTAAGCAAGCACCCCTGATTATTTTTGGAAGAGAATGTTGTATTCTTTTCTAAGATAAACACATAGACTTGCTACTATATTTGTTTAGATTTGACTTTACTGGAGCCCAGTTTAGCTTTGACATTTACAGATGGGCTAGCTTTCATCTCACTTCAAGATATAAAGCAACCTGGTATTTAGTCTACCTGCAAAACGCAGTTAGGAAGCCCTAGAGGAACGTAATTAAAATGCAGCACATTTCCAAGGCACTGTATCTTGCTGTGTTGCCATAGAAACAGTGGGAATTTCTGGTCACTGACCTTTAAGGGAACCAGAGAATACATTTTCATAAGGTTCATAAGAAGACCTAGCTCAGTGTATTAACCATAGTTATAGGATCAACTTTGGAAATCCCCTATGCAATCCTTCCTGACTTTAGAAGTATATTATAACAGCAACACCTACTAGAGGCTCGAACGGGACTTTTTGAAGGAATGCTTTTTAACTGCTTCTAATATACCATCTGTATCACTGGTTTTAAAATAATCAAAGATAGTATTGTAGCAGCAAAGAAACATTAAAGAAAATCTTAGGTAATTATACAGCAGATATTGGAACTAAAATAATATTTAGAAATAGTTTTGGTGTTATAGCTATTCTATTGCATTTGGATTGCTGAAATCTAGGTTTACTCAAAGGATAAAATAGAGCATTACTATATCAAAAAATGTACCTAGAAAATCAAGGCTTAATATAATTTAAAAATATAAATTATGAATTCATGTACTTTCCAGTTTATTCATTTATAAATTCAACCATTACATTAATAAATATGTATAATTGAACAGTTTTATTTATACTTTATATATATGTATTTTTGCCATTTGACAGAAGCTAAGTACCCATGATGCAATAGGAAGATGAAAAAGTCTGCCTTACTGTAGACTACTGTTATTATGTTGATATTTTTATCTTCTACTGAAAATAAATAACTTAGTTCTAGTAACAGGATGTACATAGTTTAGTTATAAGGAAGGATCAATCAGGGTAGTCAGGAGCTGGCTAATTTCTCCCAGAATTAGAAATAAATCTCTGTATACATGAATATGACTTATTCTAGACATAGATGCCTGAGGAAGGCTAGAAATATACTAATAATTATATCTAGAAAAGCAAGGCTATTATCACATTCTCTAGACTTCTGGGGGGTTACTGACATAGTTGTATGTCCTCACTCTGAGAGATGATGTGACCTAGGGGCTGAGAGCACAGACTCTGGCCCCATATTGATTGAACTTCTGTTTTGGCCATTTCTTAGCTCTGTGGCTATGAGAACATTACTTAGCCTGCAGGTGCCTCTGTTTGCTCATATATAAACTGAGGATAGTACTGGAACTTAGTGCTGTTTTGAGAATTAAACAAGTTATTATTGATAAATCACTTACATCTATATTTGACACATAGTAATAAAAAAAAAAGTATCTCCAATTTAAATTCCAGGGACAGAGGAAACAGGGAGGTACCAGCCCTGTGGTACTCCTGCCCAAGACAGAAACAACACAGTAGGATGAACTCATCCCACATAGAAAGAGTGTGGTGTCAGTGTGGTGGATGGAGGAGTCTGTCAAGTTTTCAGTCAGAACATTGCATTTTTCTTCCTCAGTGTGGATGCGGAAAGCATTATCCCTGAGAACTAATGGTTGTCCTGAAGCGCGTGTATGTGTCTGTGTGTGCTGATCCAATAGTTAGCCACTGGATGAGCCAGAAGGTTGGGGAATATATCTCACACTGGTGGGAGATTTTGAAAAAGATCTGACTTGGAATGCCAAACCATACATTAGACTGTTGTGCTGCCAATTGTGGCCAAAGCCCATCCTGACCTGTTTTGCTAAAGCCCCATGGAGGCTAAATAACTCAGACTTGGGGGGAGGATGTCTGCAAAATAAGCCTGGGAGCAGACTAACTCAGGCCACTTGTCAGGTAGTTGTCTCAGCAGTGGCTGTGAGGCAAGAATCCTGAAAAGGCTTACGTGCCTTGCACAAATTTTGTTTAAGTGCTTGGTTCAAGACAACCGCTACTGGTGTATATCTTCCCGTGGTATTTTCTATGCACATATTGGTACTAGAAGGCTTCTTGTACAGAAAGGCTGTAATTTTCCATGTGGTTTCCTCATGAATGTATCTAATGAAACAAGAGACTTACCGCTTCTCTCCAGTTTAAGACTACATACACAGCAGCTTAACACTCTGTAGTCTCTTTCCAATTAGGCAAAAAACTAAGTTTCTGTGGTGATCATGCTGAGGGTCATTATATTCATTCTGCCTTACTTCCTTGCCAATGCCTAATATGCATCAAATTACTCATGATTACATCTGAGCTGCCTAGCACTTCTAGAATATTTTCTTGAAATTATACTTTCTGTTGGGGACTTTTTAAAGTGTCTATGCCATTTGTCTCCTGAATAATTAAAAAGATTTTAAAAAATTATTGATTTGTATAGGTCTTTTGACATTCAAGTTTACTGTCAGCACCTACGGGGAATTAACAGATTTTCCCTAAGTAGAAAAACCTTTCCTAAAGAAATATCCTAGAATTCATATGTTTACCAGAATTTAAAGGAGTCCAAGAGATTTTTATAAATCTAGAGACATTAAGGCGATTCTCTGGTAGTTCCCAGAGATGTTTAAAGGTACCTCCTGGAAGGAAAAGATTTGATTTAAAAAAAGAAAATCCTGGGTTAAAGTTAACCAGGTTGTCTCAGAGCCTTTAATGTGCTAATGTTAATGTGCCTTATGAATACCTAAAGAGGATGTAGTCAGTATCATTTCTTACACTTCTGTATTCTATGGAACCCACTTTTTTGTTTTATTTATTGATTTATTGAAGTATAGTTGATTTACAGTGTTGTTAATTTCTGCTGTACAGCAAAGTGATTCAGTTATACATATATATATATATACATTCTTTTTCATATTCTTTTCCACTACAGTTTATCACAGGATACTGAATATAGATCGCTCCCTGTGCTATACAGTAGGACCTTGTTGTTTATCCATTCTGTATATACTAGTTTGCATCTGCTAACCCCAAAATCCCACTCCAGCGCTCCCCCTCCCCCTCCCCCTTGGCAACCACAGGTCTGTTCTCTATGTCTGTGAGTCCGTTTCTGTTTCGTAGATAGTTTCATTTGTGTCGTATTTTAGATTACACAAAATGATATCATATGTCTTTCTGACTTACTTCAGTTAGTATGATAATCACTAGGTCCATCCTTGTTGCTGCAAATGGCATTTCTTCACTCTTTTTTTATGGCTTATTGGGTTGGCCAAAAAGTTCATTTGTGAAAAACCCACACAAACATTTTGGCCAGCCCAGTATATAGGTACCACATCTTCTTTATCCATTCATCTGTCGATGGACATTTAGGTTGCTTCCAAGTCTTGGCTATTGTGAACAGTTGCTATGAACACAGGGGTGCATATATATCTTTTTGAATTATAGCTTTGTCTGGATATATGCCCAGGAGTGGGATTGCTGGATCATATGGTAATTCTATTTTTAGTTTTCTGAGGGACCTCCATACAGTTTTCCATAGTGGCTGCACCAACTTACATTTCCACCAACAGTGTAGGAGGGGAACCCACTTTCTTAGTAGGGTCTCTTAAGGTACTAGTGCACATCAGAACATATTTTGGGCAGTGCTGCTTCAGGGAATTCCCACAGTAAAGGGTTAATGTTTCATCTCGTCTTTTTAAACTGCTCTAAAATCTATCCTCCTTCAAATGGCCATTAAGAACTTTAATTGTGTCTGTCAGCTCTCATTGCATGTTGTTTATAAGCATGGTTTTATTATTTAAGTGAGATGGCATAAAAATAAGATTTTTGTAATGAGAACATTTTATTTTAATTTCCACCATTTATATACAAACACAAGATAAAACACATCACGAAACATTTTATAGTTAATATTTATAGGTGCATAGTTTCATGCTCACGTATTTAAGTATTATATGTATTAAATTTCACAATACATCAATATATTTAGAATCGTTAAAAGACACCTTAAAATCTTATAATATATTATAGTAAATCACTCACAATTTTTCAACGCCAGCAACAAAAAATTAGTGGAGATTTAGAAATAAGTGGTAGTCACTTAGGTGTTTTTAATTTAATTTAACATTTTAGATTTGAAGCCACAATACCCACAGCACACAGAGACCCTGCTATCATATATTAGGTGGGAGGGAAGCACCGAAATGCTGAGTTGGGGCAGGTACAGATACTCCAATCACTGCTGATGGAAGACTTCTTCAAAACACACTGAAAACTTTGAGAAAATGTCATGACTGGGCACGTTGGAACTGAGCACTGGTACAGGGTGGCACATCTGTCAGCAGATCTCAGGAAACTGGGAGCAAAGATATTTCTTAGGCTTCAGGTTCGTAATCCTGATACCCTTCCTAATAATAGGAAAATCGGAAAGACAACACGAAGTTTTAGTATAAGTGACCAGTGATCAGGGCTTTAGGGCAAAAATGAGATGGGACATGGCTTGCCACTTTGAATAAGGGAACTGTGTCTTAACAGTTCTGGAACTATTCTGCTACATCCAGTATAATTTTCTTCTTTTTAATAGTTTTGTCTTCCTGTCAAATATAAAAGTGAATTATTATTCTTGTGATCAGCGTTAGGGTGTCTGAATTCTACTTCCACACGCGCCATTTAATAATCGTATGACCTAGTCCTGTAGGACACAGTAGCCGGTCTATCTTATCTGGCTCTCATTTTCTTCAACTAAAGTGTTAGTTTCTTTCTAAGAAATCACCTGATTTGGTTCTACAACAACATTTAAAGGCAAGTCACATTTTCTCTCCTTTTACTTTCCCATTTGGGAATATCATCTTCATCTGTGGCTTCAATTATTACTATTTCAAAGCTCCTTCTCTCTCCCTGTAACTTGGATAACATAGACAATAAAAACATTGATGGTCTTAACCAAAGTGGCCAGATTAGTCCTCCTAAAAAACAACTCTAATAATAGCAGAATCCTGCTTAAAAACGTATTTTCAATAACTCAAGCTGCCTTCTGAATGAAGTACAAGCTTAAATGGCCAGGTTTTTACAGTACTTTACAATTCGTCTTTGGCCCATCTCTGCTCAAAGCTTGAACCACATTTAATTACTCACTGTGCCTCAGACATATCCACATGCACTCTCAGACATGTATGCCTTGGAGTTTTCCTTGTGTTAGAATGTCCTCCCTGCATTTTGGCCAATCATATCTCCCGCCCCTTCCCACGCAGGTCACTACCCACCTCTGCTATAAAGCTTCTTCCGACTGATCTAAAGAAATCTTGTAAAATGTTAACCTTTTTTGTGCGTCGCGTATATTTTTGCCCCTGTGATGCCTGGTGCATAAAAGGCAGTCAATAATGTTTGTTAGGGGTGTCATGATGACTAAATGAAGGCATGCACTTGTATTTGTTTTTCAAACCTACTAGAGTGTAAACTCCTTGCATCCAGGTACTAGCAGTTACTCTTCCTGTATTTCTATGGTGTTTATTAGCATTGTGCCATGTATAAAAAGACCCCCAAATATTGGTTAAAATTAATTAGGCAAATAATTTAAGCTCAATTTCTGCAAATGGAATGACTGATTATCAATATGCCTTGTAATAATGCCATAAAGAAGAATAACAACCTAACTACAACACACTTTAACTCAATTTTTAGTGGTGATGTCTGGTTTCGATACCAGGGTAATATTGTTCTCACAGAACTGGTTAGGGCGTGCTCCCTTTTCTGTTTTTTTTGGATGATAAGTTAATTGGCATTAATTGTAATTAGTGGTATTTCTTCTTCTTTAAATGTTTGGTAAAATTCACCAGTGAAGCCATCTGGTCCTGGAATTCTCTCCCTGGCTGGGTTTTTAAATAATTCATTCTTTTTAAATTAGAAATCTATTCAGATTTTCTATTTCTTCCTGAGTCAGTTTCATTCATCTAAAAGTATTTTCTAATTTCTCTTGTGATACCTTTTCTATTAAAGAAACTTACTTTCAAATTAAAGTATGCTGTTTAAAATGTTAGACTGAAATGTATCCATTATTGCAAACTATGCATTTATCATATTTCTACTCTCTAATTTTTTTGAGTAACTTTTATTTTACTATGCAAACATCTCACTAGAAATGTATGGCAAATAATAATTACTACTTTGGGCATTTAGTTGATTTCTCTAACCTTCCATTTTGGCATTTGTTTTAGAAGGTAAAGTTTCTAGTAAAATAATTCTTCAATGTAGGGGCCAGCAATCTCTTTCTGTAAAAGGCCAGGCTGTAAATATTTTAGGTTGTGTGGGCCACATACTGTCTCTATCAGTGCTGTTGCCTTTTTTTTTTTTTTTTTTTAACTCTTTACAAACGTAAAAACCATTCACAGCTTGAAAGCTGTCCACACAATACAGGTCCTGGATTTGGCTAACTTGTGCATCTAGAGAGTAAGTCATTCTCTTTAAGGACAAACATAAGGGAAATCTGACAGTGACAGATTTGGGTTACTGATTATTGGACCCAACTTGAACTCTTAAACTTTATTTTTGGAGTTTCACGTGTATAAACTCTTACCTCAGAAGGCATTTCATAAGCCTCATTGTCAGGCTCCACAGGTGTATCTTCCAGAATTCCTTCCTGGGAGGCTCCTTCACTCTAATATTTAAATGAAAAGCATTCAAAGACTTTGAGGAGGTACCATTATTCACTTTTAAAATTCACAACCAAATTTTGAAAAAAATCTTATATACAGTACTGGAAGGGATGTAATAAAAATGGCACTCCTTAGTGTCACTGCTAAACTATACAGTGCCTTTAGTAAAACGTTGAGGCAACAGGTGTTATTAACGCTAAAAATGTACAATTTTTTGGCCAAGTAATGCACCATTCAGGAAAACAGTCCAAAGCTAGAGAACAAAGGTGTTTCTCACAGGATCAATGACAGCAGTAAAAATTGTTAATTCTTCATCAATGGATGATGAAGAATTAGGAAAATTATCATTCAACAATTCAATAGATTATTATCTATTACTATGACAAAAATTATATAAAAAATAAGAACCTCTTTATGATACAATGTTTAGCAGTATATAAATGTTGTTGTATATATTATGGATACAGCCTAGGTAGAATTCAGATGATACAAAGGTGAAACAGATTGGAGGAAGGCACAACAAAATATGAAAAGTACTTTTTGTTGGGTAGCTATGCATGTTATTTTTACCTTTTTGTAAGTTTTTAACTTATATAACCATTTATAATGTAAAAGCATACATATTTTATAGTTTATTTCTAATAACGGCAAAGAAACAAATTTAAAAAACAAATTTCAAGACTGAAACCATACATATTTGGCAGAAGAAAACTCAACTATTTGGTCAGTTTTCCAATTATCTCTCCTTAGGATACCACAAATTCAACCTGTTGTGGTCATGGTTTTATTAGTGTTCTTCATTAAATACCTTTTGTTGCTTTGCATTTATTCCAGAAAAGGAATTGTAAAAAGAGGTGATTGAAAATTAAAAGAGCAGGGAGGCCATGTGAGCCTATATGAACTTGCTCAGGGATATCAAATAGTCCCTCAGTCAATGTGGCTTCTGTTTAAAACTATGCCTGATGTAAATAACATCTCCCCATCTTGAAAATACAGGGAGGGAAAGGGATAAGGAAATGGATGACGGTGAGAAAACGTCAAACTAAAGCTCATTCTTACATTAGCTGGGCAGAGAAGCTTATAGGTCACCCACCTCTGTCTAACTCCTGTTTTATAAATTTTAAAAGTCCAAGTTATTTATAAAGTAAATAAGATATAAACCATCCCCCAAATACCTTACTTCTAAACGTGGAGTAAAGGTACTGTTTTCAATGTTTCACCTCTTCGTTCATGTCAACAACATAGGTTCTGCTGATTGGTGGTTAGACACCAGGGCTGTAATATCACAAGACTTGAGTTCAGGTCCTATAGCTTCTACAGATTCTAGATCTTTTGTGATGTTGAGCAAGTTTCTTAAGCTTTCTCTAAGCATCAAACAGCCTTAGTGATAAAATGGGGCAGCAATAACTTTTTTAAATTGGGAGGAGACAATGCCATCATTAGTCCTCTCATTAGTATTTAGATAACTTTTAGTGATACTCAAGTATGAGGAAAATAAGGTAAATTTCCTGTTTCTTTGCATTTTAAGCTTTTAGGGATTTATTTTTCTAACCGAATTTGTTAAAAGATTTTGATATAGACTGGACAAGTAAATATGCAGAACTGACTTGCTTTCTATCACAAATGAGGTGCTAAGACTGGTGAATGTTATTGGATATGTGTGTGTATGTGTATTTGGGTGTGTCTGTTGCATTCTTCAAAGGTCATCCAAGTAATGGTCAATGTTGCTGGTGAATTCTTTGGCTAGATTGATCATGTATTGGGATCAAGTGAAATCCATCCCTATTAATTTTAAATAATGACTTACTTAGGTTGCAAGTACATAATAACTGCTATTTTTAAAAGTATATGTATTTCTGAGCATGTATTTACCTAATCTTTAAAACCATACTCCAAATATCTACAGTTTATAAAGTAAAATATGTATCACTTGTGGGTAAGGATTTGAGAAGCCACAGAGGAAATGCTAACATAATATTTAAAAAGAAGTCAAATAAGTGATGAGACAGAAAGTCAGCTACAAAAGTAAAGACACATAAATAAATGGGAAAAGGAGGAAACAAGTGAAATATAAATACCGGGATGGTCAATAAGTATCCACATGTCACAAGAAGACGCCTATACTTTCAGGTATCTTTACTCACTAAAGGAATAAATATGTGTTGCTTTCACAAGTTTGCTAGACTTTATGTGTTGTTCTCTGGTGAATGAGATTACTGATTTCATTAAGATAGAAATACATTAATAAACTATCATTAAGGTTTTAACTGTATTATATGAAGTGGAAATAGCTCACAGACCTCCCATGAGGCAGGCTATCCTTAGCCACATCTTGCCAAGGAAATTTGGCTTCAGAGGTTTAGTAATTTGCTCAAACTAGCAGAGGTGACTCCAGACTCTGTGCCCTTAACCACTATCCTGAGCTTCTCCAAAAGAATTTTGGCATTCAAAACGTTTTCTTTAACTATCTATAGATTTCAGAAACTGAGAACATTCTCTCACGTCCCTGACTATGCCTTGCCTATTCCTTTAAGACCCAGTTAAGAGTCTATTCCTGCTAAACAAAATTATCTTATAATTTGATTGCTGAAACCCATCAAAGAAGTTTATTCAGAAGCACTGTATGCTCTGTGGGGCCATTATACCTTTCATACTATAAAAGTTTACCCAGAAGGAAAAAACAAAAAGTATTAGTTAAAGCACAAGTGAGAATTGCCTTTGTTTATCAAAACACTGATGAATTCTCTAGTGTAGAA